AGAGAGAGAGAGAGAGAGAGAGAGAGAGAGAGAGATCGTGATCGTCTTATTTACAAATTCCCAAGGGAACTCACAAGTGCAGATTTGTAGCAATGGTGTGGAAATTGAAAGAGTTTTTTAGTGTGATAATAGATGATAAAATAAGCTAGAAGTCTCATATAAGTCATACACATAACAAAGTTTCAAGTTTTGTATATCTTTTGATGTGTTACTGAGGTTATTAAATAAATAAATAATACATGTAACAAATTGCAATGAACAATTTATGATAAACAGCACATAAACAGGAAGAAAAAGTGTAGGCTGATAGTTGCTAAGTAGTGGAAAGAGGGTGGGATTAAATAAACTTATGCTTCTTCCTACTCCTTTTTGAACATGTAAGACATTTATAATTAATTATTATTGATTTGTTTTCCTTTTGTTTTCCTTTTTTGTTTGTCTCTTTTTCTCAGTTTTTGTTGTTATACTTTTTTAACTTGTTCAAAATAAACATTGTATTCACTTCAGTTATATGGACTTGATTGTCTAAATGGTGGATTCAATAATGAAGTCTTCTGTTTTAAATGAAGAAATTAAATTAAACTAACCTCAAACTTTAGATACCTTGTGTTTTATTCTTCTAAACACAGATACTCTGCATTAGGACGCATCTCCTTACTTAGTACCAATGACTGTTGTGGAATTCTTCATCTTATTGTTCCTGTATTTTGCTTTGAGCATTTAAACATCACAGAATCTGTTCAAAGGAATACATTTCCACTTCCTTTTGTCTCTGAGCCAGAGAGAGGTTAATGGCGCCATGTAAAAATAATTTGAAATTCTAACAGTTTTGATAATAAATTTTGAAAACTTATAATTGGTGCATATTTGTCTTCTCTCTCATAAAAACCCCTAAACATCGCAATTTTAACCTCTCAAAACAAAGCTTTCATAACATGTATGAGAAAACTGAAAACAGAAAATGAGAAATTGAAAGCTCAAATACGTGAGCGAAATAATCGTATAGAAATTAGAAAAGCTTTAAGCGCACTGGAAAATGAAGAAAAAGTCCTGCAGGCATGCAGCAGAAGGCTTTATAAAAGGCATGCTGATGTCTCCAAACAGGTTGTTCTTGATGAAGATTGGAGGCAAACATAATAAACCATAATAAACTGAAAGAAAGAAAGAAGAAAATAACAATGTGTCTAAAGAAATTGATACTCATGAAAATGGATGGATTATACGATCTAAAGGCTGTTAAGGCAAATTATAATACTCTGTATCGGTATCTTGGCTGGTAGGAGACTTTTCTGTGCTTTCACAGCTTGAGGGGCTGCGGTCAAAGCTTGTTAAGGAACAGACTTTGCATCAGCAGAATAGTGAACTTAGAGCAGAGATCGACAGCCTCAGGATTTTAACTTCTGCTCCCCAAGCTGAAAAAAAAAAAGAACATTACACAGCACAACAACATCCTGCAAAAAGAAGTGAATAAACCAAAAACGAAAATGAGAGGCTCTGCAAGAGCAATGCGAGAATGTATGCAGACAATGAGATGCTCTAAAAACAGAACTCAGCAATTTCACAGACTCAGTAAGCACAGGGTGGGTAATCTCAGACTCAGAAAGCACCTTTTATGAGCAACTACTCAAAGAAATCACATAGATCTCTGATTTTGAATCTGGGCAACATGGTAACGAACCTAAACTTCGTGAAAGAAGGTTAGCACGTCAGTGTATTGTGTGAAGTCTGGCTTTATTATGTTGCATTTGCTTTACACCAGGTGCTCTATTTTACCCCTAATCTAAAAAATTAGCTTAAATTGGCATTTAATTAAATTACAGTTACGCAAAACCTCAACCAGTCCTGGCAGATGGCTGCCCCAACCTGAGCATGGTTCTGCTGGAAGTTTCCTTTTAAACCAGTTTTTTCTTCCCACTGTTGCCAAGTGCTTGGTCACATTCGATCTTTGGGTTTTGCTTTTTTTTCTTTCCTTTTTTTTTTTCCTTTTTTCGTTTTTTTTTTTTTTTTGGTTTTTTTTTTTCTTTTGTTTTTGTGCTTTGTTTAATATTGTCGTGTCTTTATCTTACAATATTAGACAGTTCAATTAAATTTCTTTAGCTTTCCATTTCAAAAATTGCTTGTATGCAATATATGTGCTGCCTTTAGTACCTATAGTATTAGGGGGGAAACGTAGTCATGATTCCAGAATTTAGGTATTGAAAGGTTTTCCAAATAATGGTTGAAGTGTCAAGTCTGTCTGAAACTCCTTCATAGACTATCCCTGTAAGGAGTGTTTTTCTTTTTGTCTGTGGTAAATTAAAGAAGAAATTCAAACATTTTGCCCATTTTTTTCAAGAACACACTTTACATGTAATAACAAAGCAGTTCAAAATTTTAAGCACTTAATATTGAGATCATCACTGAAAAGTACAACACATTGTCACTAAGAATAGACTTAAGTAGGCTTTGATGTGCAAATAGTGTGAAATCATTCAATGCACAAACTGGAGCATAAAGGGACATATTTTGTGAATATGCTTTCACAATAGACTGTGAGGCGTAGCAATATCGTCTCTGGAGCAAAGTGCAAGAAACAGATTTCATGCAGATGCAGATCATGGCCGCTAGGTGGAGACTCTCAGGCAGTCACAAGGAAACGCTCACTGCTCGGCTGTTCTGTAGATTTCCTCTCTGACAACCACGAGATCCCGAGAGCAGCAGCGTCAGCATGCAAACTTTGCACTACCATGAGAGTTTTTACAAGGACACTTGTCGTAACATGTGATGGAGAATGAATTCAACACGGGAGGATGCTACGATAAAGTAAGTGGACATTATTTTGTTTTCAACAAGATATACAGTAATGAATAGTCATCATTAACGACATGCATAAGAAATGAAATACTATATCATGAAATACTACATATAATAGGGATCATATATGAATCTTTTCACACTGCCTGAACAAAAATGCACCTAAAGATTCCTTACTGATTCTTGGCAGTTTACATTTAGGGAAAAGAGAAGATATCAGTAAAGTAAAACATTATAAAAACTGGAACCAAGAATACAGTATCCACAGGAAATATTTTAACTTTAGTAAAATCAATATGAAGTCGGTGTAGCATCACAGACATGTCCAAAGATCGTTAATAGATATGGGACAGGTGTATAGTTATTCTATGTTGGTTTTTTTTTTTAAAAACAAATATTTCTGTAAAGTGATAGTGCTGAATGAACTCATGGTCAGTGCAGCTTATAGTCTGCAGACATAAGTGCAGTATACAATATAATTAGCTAATGTTGGGATAAAATTTACTTACTAAAATAATTCCTCATTAAGTATATTCAGTTTCCTTGTTCGTGAACACATACAAACACACTGCCACTCACTTTCTCACTAAGCCCTTTGTGCTCAAACATGTCATCTAAGCTGGGAGCTTGATGAATTGAGCAGGAACAGGAAAAACTGATCTGTGACACAGTGGCACAAAGGCAAATGGTTGTGAAGAGGTCATGGATTTTCTACACAATTTGTGACATGATTGATTGATTGATTGATAATTTTAAGAGTCTTGTAGTTGTTGATTTGAGGTATAATCGTGTTGGGCATTTGCACCATACACTGCAGATGGGCACAGCAAACGTTAATAAACGAAGGAAGGAAGGAAGGAAGGAAGCCTGAATTATTAGGTTCTGGTGAGTGCTGTGTTTTGCGACAAATGGCCATCTTTAGACATTATCAGCTAATAATGTCAGCCATAAACTGCATGAGTGCAACATATGTGTAAAATATTAGAATTTAAAAAGCAACTGAAGCACAAACTTCATGAGTGGAATGTGCCACACAGCAGACCATAACCTTTTCAAGTATTGCAGTTAAAAATGCTCCAGAAGGCACCAACACCACAAGTAAAGAGATGTAGCTCAGTGATTTGAATAAGATGCTTGTGTTGTAGTTTTAAAAAATATATAATTACTGTGCATGAGATGATTTTATGAAGGGGGAATAGACTATAGAGAGTTTTACATCAAACCGTTAAGCATAGCTGATGCTGAATTATGACTGGCTCATTTTTGGAGGCAGACTCGTGTGACTTTTAGAGAAACTTCATTTTTTTTGCACTTCAGTGATGTCTTCACTTTTTCAGCCACAGAGGTTTACACTTGATTTGCACCCATACATCCTCTGCATATGTCCCCAAATGACCTTTTACCTCCTTCGCCTGCTGCACTGAGCTCCAGACATGACTGTGGCCCGCCAGGCAGAGCATGTGTGTGTCTGTGTGTGTGTAAATATGCATGTGTTAGCAGAAGTAGGACCACGGCACGCTCCCATTGAAAAGAAAGGGTGATGGTAAGGCCAGAGGTCTCTGTGGATGACGTTTGGCCTGGCAGCTGCTGGAGCTGCTCCATGCTTTTGTTTCTCTGTGACCCTTCTGACCCGGCACTCGCCCTGATGTCAAACACACACACACACTTTCGCACACCTGCACATAGTCAGACACATGACCCCGCATACACACACACACATGCAAGGATGTGCAGGCATATATGTAAATGTGATTATTTGCTAAAGCGCCCTGTAGACACATACACACACAACGGTGCTCAATAGGCCAGGCCCTGTGGGGACGATCCATCATGACTTAATCACAGAGCTGTGAATTTATGTGTGAAACACCGTGTACATGTGCCTGATTCACTTTATGTAGCATTAAGAAATTTGTTTTGCTTCAGATCATTCCCATATTTTTTCTTCTAATTCTCACAGAGTGCTTGAAAAAAGTGAAAAAGAACTCCTCAAAATCCCGCTAGCATTACCATAAACATCAAGACTTGGAACACTGAAGTAGGTCTGCAGGTAGCAGCTTGAAAATTGCCACAGGTAATTGGCAATACAGAAATATGGATGTTGTAGCACTCTTATCGCTTTTCAGTTCTTTAGAAACAGGGGTGCACTGACAGGTCACCGCTGTCGACTGTTTGATATTAGCCTGCAGGCAAAAAGGACCTGTATCAGTGTCAGTTGCTGATATTTCTCTGTCGAGTCCTGGCGAGCTTTGCTGGTAGCCAAGTCGTGTGTTGTGTGCCATTATAATTTGGTTTGTAATTTCCCAGCAAACAGTTCAATCTGATGCAGTAATATATTGCCAGTGTATGTTTCAGTCTTTAACCGCTTTCTGACAAACCAACAGTGAAAATTATCCTCAGTTACGGCCCTAATGTGCTTTTTAAAACTACAATTCCAAAGATGCTAGCCAAGTTGCCATGGAGGTTTTATTGGCCTCAGCTATGTGGTAAATCTCAGTAATGTGTGGCTGCAGAATCACTCCATCTCCATTACACCAAATACAAGCCTGCAGGAAACAGCAGGTGGTGTGTGTGCGCACTAACATGTTTTCATGCTGCCTCCTTAAGTGACCCAGAGGGCACTGGCCTGAAGGCCAACCTATTGTTCTTTCAAAGCCCTGAGTGACCCCATCCCATTCGCCCCCTCCACCACACACACACACACACACACACACACACACACACACACACACACACACACACACCCGACACACACTGGTTTGTTTGACTTCCCTCTTCATAGGTAGCAGCATGTGTAGAGCCTGTTAGCATAGTATTGTGTGTGTGCACGTGTGTGTCATTGATACCAGCTGGACTACCTCTTCCCCTGCCTGTTTCCACCCCTCAGGCCTTGTTAAAGGCTGGAGTAATCCTTGCAGCCTGGATCAGTGTTTATCCAGTGTACTGTTTGAAGATCTGCTGCAGACCCTTCTCCTGGCACTTACTCAGCCCTCAGCATGGATTACCTTTACACCCACACTTATTTCTATCCTTTTTGCTCTGTCCTTATTTGTTTTGATTACTTAGATCATTGATTTTAGAGTAAAAAGGACTCAACTGGATATTCACTGTTCAAGGACATTAAAATAATCTTTTAATGGAGGTACTGAGGGTGGTGTAGACAGGTTAAAGGTTATTTAAAGTAATCTGCAATCAGAGCTCCAGAACTCTGAAGTGAAACGCACACGACGCAGACCAGCATGTTTGGTGCAGCATCAAAGATTATAACAGACATCTCTAAAAGTTTCAAGTTTAAATTTACCCAGGTTGAAGTTTTAATTTTCCTGTTGGAACTCGTTCGATACTGCAGAATGCTTAAAAAAAGGAGTAAAATGTGTTTTGATACAGTCCTAGTCTTACGAAAAAGTAGTTTTAAATAGTAAAGGTGTGGGATATGATGGTGCAGAATTAGGTGAATTAGATCGGAAATGTGTACTTGTGAAATGCAGGCCACTTTTGATATTGTTTCAATCACCGGTTGTTGTTATTCATCCAGATATAGGTTGGGACATGTATTAACCCATAGTTATATCATCCAGTTGCGCTGTTTTACATGGTGGTTTTCAGTGTAGAGTTGATATGTTCTCTTCTTGTCTGTATTTCCTTATCTGAATTTTAAACTCAACAAGACTCAGTGCAAACTAACCATAGAAATCCTTTGTAGAGGAACCACTTTGTAGTGACCCACTATCACACATGAGTGAGATCCTGTTCCAAAGCTGGGTAGAATATAGACGAACAACATAAAAATATGGATTTTCTGGATTATGGACACAATATAGAAATCGCTTATTAAAACACAAAACCCCAATTTTCAAAATGCTTTTAAGAACAGATGCATCAACCAAACAACTCTGACTCAGACGTGCAGTAACAGGCTTTACTGTCATGGCTGTGATCTTTATGTCAGATTAGGTAGCGCTTCCATATGCTTCCTCCTTTGTCTGAGGCAGAAATGCTGCTCAGGTCAAACAAAACTACTCGGATTTATCTTGTGTACACAGCGGCGGTGGCGGCTACTACACGGCAGTGTAGCACGGCACAACACTGTGCCGTGCTACACTTCGATAGGGTTGGTAAGGTGCAGGCAGGCGGCCGGGAGCAGGACACCTGTTCATCCTGCGACTTGAAGCAGATGGTCCACATGGCGCCTGCTCCCCCGAGGGGAAAAACTGTCAGCTGAGCCCCAATTAAGGAGTCACTGCAAGTCATAGGGGAGCGGGGAGTGGGGGTGGATGATAGAGAGAGAGAGGAAAATCAGTCTGATAATCAAATAACTGTGACGTGATAATTGAACAAATCAGACTGTGGAATTAAAAGACACGATACTGCTGGTTAAGTTAGGAGCCGTTCTTTACTTTACTAATTACTAACCCCCGACATGTGAGTCATCCAATCAGCATACACAGATATATGATATACTTAGCTATGCTTTTGTTACTTGAAACTAAGCAGTTTGTTTTTCCAAGTAAAAAAAAGTTTCAGATAATTTAATCGGACGTTTTTCTTTATGGTGAATTGCAAAGACTTATGTGAGAAAAGTGTGCCATATTGAAAAGATGCATCCTTTTAAGTAAATCTGTGCAGTCACTTTCAAACATTTTGTGTGCAAAGGTTTAAAAGGGAAAAACCAAAATGTAGTCACAGTGTATTCATATCCAGTGTTGGGTAAGTTACTTTAAAATAGTAACTGAGTTACATTACTAGTTACTTCTATCAAAAGTAACTCAGTTACTTCAAGTTACTCGTTACTTTCAAAGTAACTAGTTACTAGGGAAAGTAACTTTGGTTTTACTCAGAATTCTCTTGTTAATGTGTTTCTTCCATAACTTTGCCAGTCTTCTAGCTTGCTTACTTGCCACAAGTGCACTGTGCCACCTACCAATAGAAAGGAAAAGATAATGTGCATATTTCCACGTAAGAAATCCCACGCCTGGACCGTCATTGACTGCTGCCATGATTCTAGCCTA